GATGGCCGTGTATGCACGTTCGTGGACCATCACAGATGAATGAATAGAGCATGCCGTATGGACCACGGAAGGTCACATTGCCGGAGAATTGAACATTCGTATCGAGTCCGTTGTTTTGCAACAAAGCCATCATTGCATCGGCAATTTTTTCGTGCTCGATTGATTGTGTCTCGTGTAAACTCTCGGTGTGCTTTTCCGTTTGTATGTATTCCTTGGTGTTTGGCGATTCGAGCCCGCTTGCTTGCTCGAAATCAGCACCGTTTGCTGACAACTCTTGGATTCGATTGCTCGAAGTCGACGCGAGACTCTTGTTTGCGGATCTTCCAGCAGAATCGTTGAGGAAATGGATCACCCATAATGGAGCTGGTCGGATATTTGTCCTTGAAGGTTGTGCGCACCAAGTGTAATTCAACCCAATCTCAGGTGAGCCCGGTGGGGCCAGAACGATGCCTCCATCTCCGCGCCCATCGATTCCATAATACTGGCCCTCATAGTCCACTCCAGCAAAACACTTTCCTGATTGGAGTCCGTCTTTGAGTGATTCACCATACGAGAAGTAGTAATGGAGGCCTCCGCTGGCAGAAGTGGCTTTTAAAGTGTCTGGTTCTCCGTGTTCCGCAATTAATCTATTCCAGAGAGGCATGCCAGCTTGGAGATCTTTCTCTGGTTTGTCTCGTGTGTCTACATCGAGCACGAAGATGTCCGAAATGGCTCCCGTCTTAATTGCGAAGAAGTTGTATCGTTCTTTTCCAAACTTTTCCATGATTCGATCCCTTGCCATTCTCCAATCGGACACCGTTCGTATAGCGTGATTGCCTTTTGTATGCGGCATCGTTGCCAGAATCTCCTTCGATCCTTCGTCCGTTGCTCTAACTTTTGCCGGGATAGCGTATAGTCCTTCTTGTGCATACGCTTCCAACACGCCCGCGATCGAGTTTGTTGCCATGCTTTTCCACAGACCGAAGGAGGTTTGGAGCCCCCTTATACTTTCAACCCCAGAAAAATTCGTTCGACATGGAACGCGGCATTCGACGGAGCCCACACTTGGAAAGACGTGTTGCTCAGTACGATCGAATCCAGGGGATAGCGACCTGTGCCTCGTAAAGTCGTTGTCTCGTCCGTCTGCTTGTTCTACTTCCTTTCGCAATACGTTCTAGAGCCTTCTTCAAGAGAATCTCGTCCTTGTGTACTTGATAGTAGCTCTTTGAATATTCTCTTTTCTTGGCCTGATGCTCGTCCTTATAAATGTTCGCCTCTAAACAAGCAGCACAGGCAGTTGATCCATGATTGTGATTCGTCGATTCCATAGCTGGAATGAAACTGATGCCTCCTAGTAATTCTAACACAGAAAAAGTGCTTCTCCGAAAACGCACACAAAGTGTAGAAAGGAGGGAATCGCCCACTCATTCGTATCGTCTGTTGTAGAGTTCATCCGCGGTTCTCATACTGTGGCCCATGTACTGCGCCTTTGCTCGTACTTCACCGCGAGACATGAGCTTTGGAGTACGTTCCGTATGTGAAACGTGTCTGAGCAGCGTGCAACTAAGATTCCTACCGAAATGGCGCTGACCGAGGTCATTGAGAACTACAGTGAAATTCGATATCGGCTCATCGTTCCAGACGAGATAATGCCTCTTGAGGATCAGATATTTTCGCGGAATTAGATTAAAGGATCTGAGTATAACCTTTACGAGATCTTCGGGAATCTGAAGGCAACGAACGCCATCTTTTTCGAGGGTCTTGTGTCGACCAATGTGAAAGAAACACTTTTTGGGATCCTCGTTCAACTCGACGACATTGACGTCACCGGGCTTCACCGCAACGCAATCCTTTTTGTGGTCCTTCACGAAAAAGATGCATTCCGCGTACTCATTCCGCAAAGGTCCCAGGGGCATCGTATAGAGTGCAAGAATGAGATGGTCCATAACCAACTGCTTATCATGGCGATCCAAGCGTTCCTTCTTGTGGAACTTCGGCACAACATAGCGGTTGATCCGATCGTCGAGTTCCGATCGTTTTTGTAAGAGCTCGGACCAGGGAATCCAATTGTCGACTTCTTTTGGCGTCTTCCTCTGCATAGAATGATCGAGTTCCTCCTCGGTTGGCTTCATCCTCTGCATGTACTTCGAGTACGCTGATTTCGTCTCTCCAGAAGCAAGAATAGCGAAAGGGGCTGCATAGTTACTCTTCGTCAATGATTTAAGAAGCTTGCCATCACGGGACGCGAGACTCTCTATGGTCGAAATCACCTGCTCGTGATCCTCGATCCAGTCGAGACTGTTCATCAGGTTCGGTCCAAAGTCTCCAGCCGCATACACGGTTTTTAGTTGTCTGATGTACACCAACACCGTCGAATCCGATCTGTTCGGCGGAGCTCCACGGAGAACCTTCTCGGGAGATTGTACCTTCAGTTTTCTGCGTACCTCTGCTTCGAAGTTGGAATCCATCGCTGTGAAACTGCCTCGTTGTTACTAATCTTCACAGATATTTTTTATAAGATACGAACGTATCAGAGTCGATCTGGATTGAAGCGCTTTCCATTGTACTGGATCTTACTCATGAACATGGACCAGTTACTAGCAGACATAGCCGTCTGCGGCTGAGTGATCGAAGTCAAGAAGTAATCTCGAGGTATCAATCGAAGGGTTCGATGAAGATACTTGCTCAGCATCTTTGTTAGAGGGATTCGATCACCGTCTTCAAAAACGAGTTTATAATCGCCCTTGCATCGTGAGGTCTGCAGCAAATAGCTTCTATCCTCCATATGTTGGCCCTTCGGCATGATTGGAAGCTCGTGCACTTTTACCCGACGACGATGCTCCTTACTCAAGAGCATATGCCATTCAAGGACGAGATGCCACATACAGAGCTTCACCTCCTTAGGAGTGAGATCTCGATCCATGTCCTCGAGACTCAACTGTCTGACCTTGCGAGCGAGCTTCTTTCCGAATGTTTCGACCCCTTCAACTGTTATTTCTGATGTGGTGTCCGAGGTCTTATTCTCAATCTTTCGTTGAGCGGACTCCTTCAGAGCTTTGTTTTCCTTCCGAAACGGCTCATAGTAGGTTTGATAAGCCTCTGCATAACCGAGTTTGCGACAAATAGCAAGAAAAGGGGCTAAGCGAGTACGTCTAGAACCAGGATTATCATAGCGCTCTAGAACAGCTGCGACGATCTTCTGAGCCTTGCTCTTTATCCATGAGGGATCCTCGGGCATTTCAACCTCGAAAACCATATTCTATAGAAGCTGAATCCCCTTGAGATACTGCTCTGTGGAACTCTTGGTCCTAATTCCATCCTCTAAGACCTTCCGTAGAGTATCCATACTTATCACCCGTCTACGATGATGCAAGAAAATAATTTTATAATGTCTTCCGTTTCGCAACAAGTTATTTCAAAAAGGTCGGTCACAATAAAATGACATCGAATCCTCTCCTAAACGTTTATTTTCTGGAAACTGCGTGCGGGGGGCGGAAAAATGCTTACAAAACTCGAGATTTCTCAGGAGAATAACTAGTTATCTAAAATGCACCTGTCACTTTTTCACTATCTCTTCGCGTGCGTTCCAAACCATATGCACTATATATTATCGCTTGCAACGTAGATTGTTGAATCCGCATAGTACAATATGCCTCAGGGAGCGGGATTATTTTCTACGAAGCTATCATTAGAAGTGCACCAGGCCAAGCGATATGGATTCCGCAAAGCGAAGCTTCCGGGTGATTGCTGCCTACGATGCCAAGGGGAATGATGCCCTTGCTCTGTTGAAGGATACGCGACTTGAGATCGACGCGAAGAAGGGACGCGTCTGTCAAGCAGGAGCCCGCGCAGGGTCCCAACTCTTTCGGACGCAAAAATGTCAGGGGAAAAAGGTTTCTCTTCCACAGAAGGTAGTTGTTCTCATACAAGAGACCACACGAGGTTCATTGAATAAAAAGTATGGATACTCGGTCGAAATCGGTCCGGTAAAGAAAAGTAATCGCCCGACAGGTTTGCCATTCGAGGGCACCTTTCAGAGTATAGCTACAAAGATGGAAATCGAAGACATTGAGAGTACGAGTTCTTCAAAGAAGGTTTCGAAGTCGACTAAAGCCACTCAGAAGCCCAACAATAAGATCGCTGGAAAGAAGTCTGCTCCAGCAAAGAAAGCAGAATTGGTTGATTCTAAGTCTGATTCGGACTCGGATTGATTGCGTCATGGAAATCCGGTCATGAGTCCACCGATTGATAGAGCCATGTAGCGGTCATGACGCCGCACTGATTGAAGGTAGCGTTCATACCCCTCTGTAGATTCTACGTCAAGACAATATGCACGATCTTTGTTCACGTATGGAGTTTCTGCTGTGGACGGGAGTGCTGTCCATCTAAAGGACCTCTCATCTACGATTTTGTTTCCATGGACAGCGCGGACGGCTTGGGCAGCACTTTAGCGAGAGCTTCCAATCTCGATTTCCGCCGTGGACGTGAGTGCTGTCCATCTAGAAGACTTTCCATCTACGATTTTGTCTTCATGGACAGCGCGGACGGCTCGGACAGCAGTTTGGAAAGTGGCTCATTTGTATAATGTTCCCAGCTCCATCCCCATGGAGAGCGATGACGCAATGCTTTTGCTTGCAACCTACCAGGCTTTAGACTTTTAGAGTTCGAATGCATACGTAATGACTCCATTTGCACTCGATGAGAGGATCCGCGCATGGAGAAGCCGGAGAGTTGATTCAAAGGCATCGCACAAACGATAAAGAGATCACTGAGACAGCAAGAAGTTCAGCCATATTCACACCGCAACTGCATACAAGGGTTTTTTACAAGCACTGTGAAGGAATGCACTCCTACATTTTTCAGGCTTATCCTCAGTGAACGTACCCGGATCCGCATCTAATCTCGTGCCCATTATAACTAAGAGTTGTTAAACATAAGGAAGTTTTGAACGGACTTCTATCCAGCGTTTTTTAACGGATAGGTCGTCTAGCTCATGTATGTCACTGATCTTATAGAACTTGCTATTTTTCTAGAATGCTCTCCTTAGTCGGCGTGTTGAGCTGGAAGCCCCGATAACCCCGGACCGTGTGCCCCGGATTAGCGAACCTCAGCGCTGACGGCTTATCCGGGCCCTCCAGCCCCTTCTTCTTGCAAGCCTCCGCGAACTTCCGCTCGTTTCGGATTTGTGGCGCATCGGTTTCGCAGAATCTCACGCCGTCGACCAGCCTGTCCGGGTTGTTGTACGCCTCCATGAGGCTGCGCGTGGACTCAAAAGCCTTGATGTTCATTCGTCCCTCCTGCTGAAGGAAGGCTGCAAACGGATCGTTCTCCTGCTCCCATGACTGCATGTACGTTTTGCTGCTCTCCGGCATGTCGAGGAGTCTTTTGCCACTTGCGTACCAGTCCTTGGCGCCTTGCACCAAGAACACCAGTAGCTTCTCGGGCTCGGCCTTCAGGACGTCTTCCAATTCAAGGTCTCGGATCCCATGCAACGGGTTGTCGGGATTGTAGCCCGCTTCGTCCGGATAGAAGAACCGCATCGGGAAGACCAGCGTTAGGAGGCGTCGCTTGAGCGCAATCGTCCAGATCTTCACTCGGGGCGGGTAGTTTGAGCAGAGGATGTGCTGCAGAATGGATGAAGATCGTTTTTGAGCACACACAAGCGTGACTTTAAATGACTTGGCATCGTTGAAAAGGTGGTGAATGTCGACGGCAATGCTGTCCTTCAAGAGAGGCTTCTATCTGTAACACGCTCTTCATGGACGGCACAGACGGCTTGGACAGCATGGTTGGTAAGCTTTCAGAATCCGACTTCGGCTGCAAAGACTTGCCTCGAGAACCTGGACAAGTGCGCTGTCCATCAAGATGAGGTTCCATCTACAAAATCCTCTTCATGGACGGCACGGACGGCTGGGACAGCTTACAAGAAACATCTAAATGAAACTACTTCGGCCGTGAGAATGCAAAGGGCCCTGGAAGGCGTTGTCGTCCAACAAGACAACCCGTCACAGACAGCTATGGCAACTTAAGCATGGCTATAGCAGTTTCTCGCAAAGAAGACATGATTGCGCCAGCATCGGGCACGAGGAACTCACCAGCTGAGTCGTAGCAAACGTGACATAATCCGTGTAGAGTCCTCTACTCGTGATGGTCGCCTCGCCGGTCAACCGCTTCACGTTGGACTCCGCTATCTCATCCGTCTCTTCAGACTCCGTGCACGCCGCTATCCGAATGTATCGTAAACCTGGGTAAACAATGTTTGGTTATGACGCAAACAAATCTCATTCATCTGAAGGCACGGCCGTTAGTACTTGATAAAGACCTCGTTGCCGAGATCACCTTTGTACAAAAAGCAGCATCAACACGACACAAGTTGATTAACCGTCATGTTGGGTGATTTGCTTCAAGCGCATACGAACTCCCTATCATTGAAGGCTTCTATCCCCCTTCTATCATGTTCAGAGCGTCTCATTGATGTCAACTTCAAGCATAAGTCGTGTCTGCAAGGTGCTCACCTACTTCTGCTGGATTTGCAGCACCTTTGCCCAGCGGCCGTTGTCCCTTGGACGTCACGAGCATGTCCTTCGAGACGTCCTTGTAGAACGGACCGATCAGACGCCTCAGCAGAGCCAAGAGAAGGCTTTTTCCCGCTCCGCCCTCCCCAATCATCGTCAGCATGACCTGATTGGAGATGTGACCTGTGATCCCGTATCCAAGAATGCGCTGGAGATACGCAAGCGCCTCCGGAGTGCGCGTGATCTGACGGAGAAACTCGCCCGTCCTGCCCAGCGGCGTGGCAAGTCCCGTCGATGGCCACCGCACGGAAAGCTTGAAAGACCAAAGATACTGCAAGAGAGTAAATGGAGAGAGTTCAGTGACACACAATTGCTATGCAAGGTTCTGCATTTCTGCCAAGCAGTCGCATCGACCAGATAAAAACCGAAGGGATCCACTGACGATGTGGTGATGACTATCACACAAGAAAAGCAGGATCTTCAAGCCTTCAGCATGTAATTTTCACCGGTAACCGAGAAGCATGCAGATATTAGAGCTCTGTTCAAGCTACTTCAATACGACAGCTTCCACCTAATCTCGTTGAGAGTTTCACCCTACACTAAGTCACCCCTTAATGAAGTAGATTCAACTCAGATCAAGGATATTGGGACGAATAGTACTCCGTGGCAGATGCCGCTGCCTTGCTTAAGATTGCCTTTCTGCTCCTTGACAGAAAGCGTGCAATTACTCGAGAGAGCAGTGTGTGCCAACAAAGCTGTGGCTGGGACTTCAATAGTGAAAACATTGCAAAGCTGGCCAGCAGTGCACAATGAAACTAATGTCAACGACAGAAGGAGTGCTTTGCTGATCAAGAAGTTGAGCTGTCAGTCATCCGCAACCTCATACCCACCTTCGGATGGTGTGCCACCAGGATCCCGCTCTCCAGCAAGACGACGCCGTTCTGAAGAGGAAGCGCATCTCTGTTGGTATTGAGCGCCTTCTCGAACGCAGGCTCCAGGCAATATCCTCTGAGAGTCGTCATGATCTGGCTCATCTTGGCGTTGAAGTTGAAGTTCACGAGCTTCTCCTTCTTGGGCTTTTCTCCCTCCTCCGCTTGCGAACCCTCGCCTTCGGCATCAGACGCTTTCTCCTTCTTGTATGCCTTGCTTATCTTGTTGAGCTCCCCGCGGCAGATCTGGCTCGCAACTCGCCCAGCCACGTCCACCACCCAAATCGACCCGTTCCAGTAGAACCATTTTTCGTTACAGAAGACGAGCTTGCGGCCCGTGTACGTCTGCAAGCGGTCGATGATGAGCGCCCCTCCTTCATCACCTGGAAGAAACGTCAGCGACTTGTCAGTGGAAAGCGATCGACAGTCGAGTGGCAACCTTGCGTCTTTGTTCACAAGCGGCTAGTCAATTGTCCTAAGAAGCACTTCGTGCACAACTACTTCTCGATATTTCTACTTCAAATACAATCTTTGGGTCTCGAATCTCTCGAAATCTGCTCAGAAGTAACACAAGAAACGGATCTTGATTCAGGTCTGCATAATCGCAAGAGCACAGGCTTGCAAGAGATTGATGATGTAAGCAAGCCTTTTGCGACGGGGACTTGGGCGCGCAAGCCCTGGCCCTCAAATGGAAACTCGCCTACCAGATAGGCGAGTTCAACCTTTGGATATTTGAGATTGAATGCTCGGATTTGACTTCGTCCGCCAAATGGACGAAGTCAAATTTTAGAGGTTGTATACCCAAGTATACAACTTCTAAATCTCGTAGATTGATAGCGCTTTAGGACTGATATTGTTCAAAGCGCGGCTTACTTGCTGAAACAGAGAGCTTCAATCACTCATTCGCGGGAGCACGACTTGCAAAATTGATGATGGTCTTCAGACCTCGTGCATCAATGACTAGAGGGCGCGCTGCCCCTGGCCCTCGTTTTTGACTTCCTCCACCAAATGGAGGAAGTCAAAATTCAGAGGTTATATACCGGAAATATAACCTCCCAATTTTGTATATTGAAAGCGCCTTAGGACTGATGCTGCTCAAGGCGCGGCTTACCTGCTGAAACCGAGAGGTTCTGCCGCAGAAACGGGAGAGGAAGCAGTTCTCGATTCTCGTACAAGCGATCCCGGTCGCTGTTGAGCGGAGAAGCATCCGAAAAAGATGCGGCCACCGGGAACATGAGACACCCGAGCTTCTTGTTCCGGCAGCCGTCGCTTGTCTTGCACCGCTGGCTGTGGCAGACGTAGGTGATCTCCGTCCCTCTTCTGAGAAGACCAAAGTTGTTGCTGCTGTGCGGTTGTGCTCCGTCCTCCGCATATGGACAAACTCGCCCTCCCCCATCATTCCGCCAGTGGTACATCACCGCCCCTAGACCAGCAACCGTGCTCGGCTCTGCCTTCGAGAAGAGAGAGGAGTTGTCGCCGAAACTGCTGAGCATGCCCCGCATCACCTCGACCACCTTCTGCTGCAACCCAAGATCCGTCAGGTCCGGCGCCCCGAGTACGGCGCTGGCCCTCGCGCTAGGCCCTGCCCTGCTGCGAACTTTTGATGGCCGTCTCGTGCGCTCTCCAGAACCCCTCGCCACTCGCTCGTTCAGAATCTCGATCAACCACTTCGGAAGAGGAGGCAGATCTTCTGCCGGGGGAAGCTCGCCTCCGCCGTCAACCGTATACCGTGCCGTCTCACCGAGTCGCTCATACGATGACGGCGGGCAAGCGATCATGCCGTTCGAGCTGACGCCCCTCATATCGACTCCCACCTTCTTCAGAACCTCCTTTCCGGATATCGGATCTCGAACCCTCAGCTCCAACTTTGCAAAGTGCGTGGGGGCCTCCACGCCCAGTCCCGACTCAACGCTTCTTCGGTGAGAGAAGTAGATGTGCACCCCCCCGCTGCCCGTGCGCACTCGAGGAGCATCAAACGCGTCGTGCTCGGTCTCCCAGAGAGCAAGCTGCTCCATGCCCCCATCACCAAGGTCAAAGTCTAGCACGACGATTCCAGACGCTGCCGTGTTGATCAGCAGCGTGTTGTTGTAGGGCTGGAAGAAGCGTTCAGTCAGACAATCGGCTAAGGTAGAGGCCGGCCAATCTCGTGGGGGTATCATTTTCTTCCCTCCCTTCCCTCCCTTTGCGTCGGGGTTCCACTGGGTGCTTGCCGTGAACACGACATAGCCTTTCGCAACCAAGGCTCGAGCCGCAACTCCCTGCATCGATCGTACACGTCATCAGTTTAGAGGTCTTCAACCTGGTCACGAACAAAATGCACAAAGTCAGTAGCCCTCCACAATTCATAGCGACGAAGCCACATCAAACGTGAGCAAACTTTCAAAGTGCTGTCCCAGCCGTCCAAGCCGTCCATGAAGACGAATTCGTAGATGAGACTTTCTCTAGATGGACGGCAGTACTGTCCGTCGGCGACGAAGCCACATCAAACGTGAGCAAAAGTTTAAAGTGCTGTCCCAGCCGTCCAAGCCGTCCATGAAGACAAATTCGTAATGAGACTTTCTCTAGATGGACAGCACTACTGTCCATCTAAGTATTTGAAAAGCAGGCCGCCCAACAAGCAGAGCGTTGTTCCGGCAGATGGTCAAAGGGGGACTGAGAATCCCCAGGCTAAGAGCCAGAGGCATTGGTCGCGCTTTCATCGCACACGTCACCACGATAAAGCGTTGCACTTTTGAAGCACGAAAGCCTGGTAGGTTACACTTCCCGAGCCCGGAAAAAATAGCACTTGAAAGCTAATGACAGTGACAAACTTCCATCACATTGTGAGCTACTGTCAGAAAGTGCTGTCCAAGCCGTCCAAGCTGTCCATAAACCAAGTTTCGTAGATAAACGTCCCTCTAGATGGACGGCAGTTCCGTCCGCATCCAGAATCGAAAACGGTGAGCTACTTGTAAAGGGCCGTCCTTGCCGTCTATGCTGTCCCTCAAGGAGAGTCTTGAATTGAAAATCCTCTTGATGAAGAGCACTTCTGTCCGTGAATTCTCAGATCCAAGATCGTGAGCTGCTTTTTAAAGTACTGTCTAACCGTCCAATTAGCTGTCCAAGTTCGAAGACGAATTTGTGACGGAGGCTTTCTGTAGTTGGACAGCCCGGCATTCCCGTTCGCGGACGGCCATGTCAATCTCGCGAGCTAATTCCGTATTGCTGACCATGAAGGGGAGATGTGTGTATGAGGAGGCTCATTAAGGTGCACTCGAGTGAGTGTCAGCTTACCATTGCGCTTGCTCCCATCTCTCTTTCTTGGTTCGCAAGACGATGGTCCTGTACAGTGTCAACCGCCTGTGGACAATCGTCCAGCATCTCCTTGTCCGAAGCAGTCTCCTCATCGTCCGCTTCAGAAGATTCGTCGTTCGCACCTTCGCAATGATCACCACCGTCTGATGAAGCGGAGTCGAAACTGTCCGGCCCCTGCATCAGTTCGTAACAGTGTTCTGGAGGCAGCCTAGATGGATGGTTCTGGTCTCGTTCGTTGGAATGGACATTGTGACCTCTTGTTAAAAAGGCTGTTTCAGCCGGTTTAGTTGTCCATGAAGGCAATCCGGACATCACATCCGGACATCACATCCGGACACATAGTTCGTTTACGTGGACAGCACTCCCGTTCAGAGGGGGAACCGAGAGATGTTAGACAACTCTCAAGATGATGTCGAGGCCGGCTACCTTGTCTACGAGGGATGTTTGTAAAGCGGCATTCCTCTTGATGGACAGCGTGCTGTCCGAGTGAGACTTGGTCATTGAGATGCGTCTGAGCGTCAGGCCACATGTCAGCAACCAAGATGCGCCACTCTGCCGGCCTGAGGTGTGGGGACATTTTAATCGAGTCGAAGGGCAGGTTATGATGCTTTTCCCGTCTGACCCGAAACTTCCTTCGTCGGCACGTTGGTAATTACCGTCCGACGATGACGCTTGCTTCCCAGGATTGTAAGAACCCGGCATCGAGAATCCCTACCCGTTCTGACTCCCCATCACCCTCCACCTTGCGCTTGACGCCACGCCTCTGACTCGCCGACCTTGGCAGAGGTTCCTGGCCAGGGACGAGCAGGCAGTGAGGGGTTTTACAGCGTCGAGAACCAGAGTCCCTCGGAAGACATCCGGCCACGAATCCTCAGTGCCACGTGCCATCATCTGCTTGGTAAAGCCTTTTGCAGAGATTTTTCTTGCAAAGATGGCGTTACGGCTGCCCTTGGCCCATCCTTGGGACACGGTACAAGCGTGCCCGGAGGTCTAGAGACAGAGACAATATACGACAACGGCGCCCTTCGCCAAAACCGAACGAGGGAGCCAAACGTTCCCCCAACATGCGTTGATGTTGACGTCCACGGTGACCTCAGGTCGGGTCGAAACGCCGGGGATATAAAGGCAAGATTCCGTCTCCTCACTTGCAAGATTTCACTACAATACGCGAGCGCTTTTAAGAGCCCTTCTTTTCGATGCACCTGTAAGCCGTTCAAGCTCGCGAGCTGGACGGTTTGTCATCAGGTCTTGAACGGGGAACTCGCGAAGTGCTGGAAACGTGTCATAGACAGGTTACCGGGGTCAAAAGCCTGTTGTCCTCGACGACCCTGGCATCAACGTCCACAGTGCACTGTGCTTCTGCTCCGTCAAGTCTCTTGGCGTTGCTCGAGGAGCTATCGAGGGTGGCGTTTGCCCGAGACGCGCCGTCTTCATGTCCGTCCGAAGAACGGCTGGCGTTAGCTTCATATCTATTCATGGCCATTTCCGGAGCGGACCCCTGGTGCAAGATAGTGTGATGCAGTCGGCTCACAGTTGCTCATCTTGACGCGGCTGACACAAGCTGACTCAGACCACTGTGACTGATTGATCCATGCAAGAAGAGTGTTCCGTAAAGCGGGCCACTCTGGCGCTTGAGACATGCTGACTGCACTTTCGCCGACGTAGAGAACAGCCACTGCATGGCGTTATCTACTGATGCACTTTGTACTGTATGTCTTCTCAGATCTGAGAAAAGTGTGAACCCAAGGAGACTCCAACTTTCAGAATCAGCCTGCATGACGTGAGCTGATTGAGTATGTCTTCCGCGTCGCAGACCATTGTAATTGGTTAAGGTGCCTCGCAATCTCACGTGCAATTCGCATCCACAGAATCGGCAAGGTCGTAGGGTTTCGGGGTGGAGAATGACCAGACCCATTGAGCAGCTCACTGTGACTCACTTTGGTCTTATTCTGACACTTCAGCTGTTCAACTTCGAGGCGCCTTCTGTTCAAGAATTCCTGGAAGAGCACCCCGTTCTCTTCTCCTCTTGCCATCGTCTAGTGTCTTTGAAGTTGCAGACAGACTGTTGCGATCAAGCGACTCTAAGCGAGGAGCTGGGAGGGATGTGGAAGGCAGAACCCTCCCAAGCGCTGCAAATCTCCCGGCCCTCTCCCGGAGGCAGAGGCTGCAGCAGCTGTAGCGAAAAAACCTCCCTGAACCCGACTTTCACTGATCTGATTGCACGGGCTGCATCAACCATAGGGCTCTTTAGGCTTGCACAAATGATTGAAGCAGGAAGGGCGCTTTCTGTACCTAGAAACCCCTTGAAAACTGATGTGCATGCAAGAATCTTGCAATGATCAAGGAATCAAAAACAGCGTGCAGGGCGGCCAGCGGTGATTGCACTGAGGCATTAGCTGACACCAGCAGCCCGCCGGGAGAAAGTCGTAATGGACTTGTAATAATTACATGATTACTGGTATTCACGATTTCCCTCCTCATTATATCCCTACACCCCCCCCCTATACCCACCCTTCCTCCGCCTCATTCTTCTCATTCCCCTTTCCCCCCTATACCCCCCTATTCATCCCCCTCCTCCGCCTCATTTTCCTCTTTCCCTGGGACCCCCTTAACCCCCTTTTC